TCAATGGCACTTAACAACAATATGTATATATATATATATAGAGAGAGAGAGAGAGAGAGAGCACAGTGGTTCCACAGGGTGGCACTGGACTGCAAAAACCACAAAGTTGGCAGTAAGAGCCCACCAGCTGTTTCACTGGAGAAAGATGAGATTTTTTTCTCCCACAAATGATTTAAAACCGTGGAAACTACATACAGTGCCACTATGAGACTTCATGTCACTTAGCAGCAACTTTGCAGTCCAGCACATTAACCCACTGTGCTAAACCAGGATGCCATATATACATATACATATATATGCATATATAATTTTGCCATTGTTGTTGTATATACATACGCACATTTGTATTTGTTTTCCAAATTATATTTTACCTTAAAACTTGTAAATGTACATCCATTAACTATTTTTTTGTGTTGAGGCAAGTTCACAAGACACATATACAGATTTCTATTGCACAATTTTTGAATATGATGAATATGATGATGTGGGTCACCTTTCAAAGAAAATAGTCTTCTCTAGTAGTCAAAATGCTCCATGATGTCATATTGTTCCATTATTTTCCATTAACCCTCTAAGAATCAATATGATGCTAATACCTAGAGTAATTTCATCCAAAGTCCAATCAGTCATCCAGTTCTTTGATATATATATATGAAAAACACCTTAGTGACCAAATGCAATGACTAGTATAACTATATTGACTATAATTATTAGCCTATGAATTAAAACCTTAGAAAAATCAAATCCAAACTCTACATTTACAAGAGAACACATTTCTTGTGAAAACTAACCTATGTAAGAAATTATTCTGCTCTTCATATACTTTATACTTTTTTTTCAACTCAAAATGATCTTATATGCCTGAAGAAAAGATAAAATAAAGTATTGCTGTTGTTAAGTATAATCGGCATCTCAGCTTAATGCTATCAATACCAACAAGTCTATAGTTGTTAACCTAGGGAATAGATTTTAAAATTGCTATTTGGTTTTTAGTTTTTGCTTAACTCTTACATAAAAACTCAAAATCCTCATTCTAGTCAATCATTACCAATCTCTTGACTTTCATACTACTAAAGTTACAGTCAATCAGTCAACAAGTATTTATTGGTCTGCCAAACTGGTAAAATATGCAAATCTGAAATAATACATTTCTTTTAGGGTTATATATTCTGGAATTGGAATCCTAGTGTGGCATGTAGGATAAGCACTGGATTACCAACTTCAAGGCTGGAGGTTCAAACCCACTAGCTGCTCCCCTGAAATCCTATACGGGGTCATTATGAGTTGGAACCAACTTGGCAGTACTTAACAACAACAAAAACAATTCTCGAAATGGAACATTAAAAAAAAAAATTATTATCCAGATAAAGGCAGAAACAGAGAATGTCAAAGAAGTGTTGCTTAAAGGTGCCGATAAAGATCTTTCTTTCTCTCTCTCTCTCTCTCTCTCTCTCTCTCTCTCTCTCTCTCTCTCTCTCTCTCTTTTTCTTTCTTTCTTTTCCTTTCCCTCATGCTTTCTTCCCCTCTTCATGAGAGAAGCATCAAAAGAATGTCTCCAACACATGTTTATTTAGGACAAATGATTAACCTAGGAAACACATGAAACAATGATTGTTGTTTGACTCTCGAAGGTTTTTGGAATTATTTGTTGCCATATGGCATTGTAAGAGTACTGGTGTGGATAAGCACTCAACCTCAAGATTGGTTTCAACAGCAAGGTCAGTGGTTCAAACCCACCAGCTGCTCCTCAGAAACCCTATATAGGGTCGCTAGGAGTCAGAACCAACTCAACTGCACTTAACAACAAAATGGAATTGTAAGCTATTAAATGCCTCCTGTAGTTTTCTGTATTTTTCAGTTAGGATTATAATTAAAGGAAGTTTTTTAAACCATAACATGCAAAAACATTAAAAATATTTAAAGCAATTTGTATAATATTTATGAAAAATTATTTTGTACTACATCTGTAAATCTCACTTTAATTTCTGAAAAGCTGTATTTTCTTCTTGAGAAAATGAAAACACATTGAAACAAAAGTGAATTCAAATAATGTCATAAAAATATCAATTTTGAATCGGCTAAAACCCAGTTGACAAAATCCCTGTCATTGTCAGCTACAAATTTAAATATTTTAAAAAGTATGCCTGCATTGGAAATGCTGATGCAAAACATCCTGTCAAATACAGACATCATCATCTATACCATTCATGTTTTGTGTACACACATGTACCTTTGTTCCATTTTAAGGCTTGAAAATGACAGTGAACTAAGTTCAAAGAGTGTGTGCAAATGTTCATTCAAATGACAAACCCAGAAATTAATACTTCTCATTCACTGAGAAAGGCATATGATGTAAAGTAGGGTAATGGCCTGCAATCTATCACTATTATCATTTATAGGAAACAAGAAATCTGATTTCAAAGGTATCTTTTAAAACTTTAAAAATGGGTAAAATACAGATTGGGCAGGAGAATTATGGATCAGTCATTAAACTAAGCAATTCACTCTAGGTTTTAAAAAGAAGAAGCAATATTTTAATTAAAATACCAGGGCCAGGTGTAATTTGGGTATTCTCCAGTCTGATTTTTTTTTTTTTTTTTTTTTTCTTTTCACTAGGGTTTAACTTAGACCTGTCTGGTGATTTTTACCTAGTCTTTGAGGCACTTATGGCCAGGCCTGGAAAACTCAAAATTTTTGAGTCAGAGAGCTGCCCTGAAGACCCAACTCTCCAAAGGAAACGAAGAATGCAAAGAATGCTCGAAACAACTCAAAATCAAAATATCAATCCGTCAAGGAATAGTTGTGGTATACCTACTATGTGTTGAACACAGAAAGAATTTTCACCCTAAAAATAAGTATGTTGGAAGTATTGACATATCTGTTACAAGATACTTCAATAATTCATAACCAAATAGAAAATGGGCCACAGAAAATGTTTTGAGAAAATGAAACTATGTTTCCAATAGGAAATATGTTCAGAATCTGAACTAAATCTATCTAGCAATAAAGGAAACCAAAAATTTAGGAATAAAAGTTAAAGATATGAATGCAAATGATCTATGGCAACAGTCAGAAATTTTGCTACCTTCCAGTAGTTAGTCTACTACTACCATTCTTCAATGTCAACAATTAGCAAAATGCCACTTTAACAACAACTTAGAAGAAATAAAAAACAAAGCACAAGTGATTATCTCAACTGTCCCAACTAGCTGTCTCCCATTTAGTTCATTATTTCATTGTTTTAAGTTTTTCAGAGCTATAATCTTTATTTATAACATTCTTTACACATTTTCGGTCACCTCTTCTCATTTTTGTCATATCCTCTTTCCAACACCTAAATTAATTTCAGCTTTCATTATTTATTTTGGAAATTACTTTATTTCAATACATAAATATGAAAAAAGAATCATCATTCCAAGAAAATACCTTTCATCAACTGATACAAGTTAAGCTCCTCAAAAATGAACATTGAAGTGATCCCAAGTATTGTTAGAACTGGTTTGTGTTATACTGATTTAAATGACTATACAATGAGCACAGTCATTTGCTTGGGCTCATCTAACTCCTAAAATTATCAAGTAGGCCCCAAAATGTTGACTTTTCAGTAACAGGCCAGCCTCCGGTTGGCTTAAGTTTTATGTCTTTATCAACTCAAGAACAACTTGGAAATACATTTAAATTACTTAATAAGTTAGAAGTCAATGGTTAATTGTGAGACAATAACATAAATAAAAATAAGGTAATATTAGAACAGTAGACTTTTTTTTTTTTAATAAAATCAACTCTATTATAGGTTCTCACTGAACCAGCAGTTTTTACTTTTATGTGCAAATAATTTAAATTATGTATTAAAATTACATTAGCAAAGATTCTTAAGCAGTGGGCCTTTTGGAGCCTAGGAAAATTGCTTTGGAAACCAGCACCTTAATTTTACTAGGCAACGTAGACATCTTGGTATCATTATGATCTTCGTCTTATTTCTATCTGTGTCTCACTTCTTACTCTGTATTGCCTGTATTACTATTTTGGATGTGAAGCAGTTTCCCCACTGTCGCACAAAGAAGAAGGAAAATCAGCTTTGCTGTCACTAGCTTCCTACAGATTTATTTCTCATTCATAGCATTCTGACATGCTTTACATCATAAATTAAAATTTTGGAGAAAGATATGATCATACTTAGCAATCAAGATTTGTTTTGTCTTCTATATGACAGGTAATAGAAATGACTTAAGCTTTATTACCTAAGTTTTTAACCATAACCTTAATTTCCAAATCAAAATACCAACCTAGTAAAAAAAAAAAATTTAAACAGCAAAGTAATTAAAATGAAATTAACTATACTGGAGCTTGGAAGATAAATAATACAGCTGTCCTTCTATACTCAAACACATTTTACCCCTACAAGCTCCAGATTCTGAACCTGATTCCTTGGCTCCCCTGCCAATTATGCTTCTCCCTGCACTATCTGCATTGTTCCTAGGTCAATGAATTAGTGATTTCTTCACATGACTTCTATATGCTAATATCTCTATCTACTTCCCTTTGCAAATTGAGACCTGGTCATCCCACACTTTGAAAAACAAGATAGTTAATATGCCTTGCTTACAAATTAGAAGTCTTTGTGATCTTCTATCAAGACTTACTTGATTCCATCCCAACGTTGTATTGTAGTTAGTAATTGTTTTTTACATTTTAGGAACTAAAATCGTGTTCAGTATATTAGAAATATGTTTATTCTTTTAAAGCAAGTAACACTAAGGTTACAATTGTTTAGCAATATCGTTAAAGGCTTGAGGAAAAATTATTATGTGATCCTAAATAGATAAATTTTGTAAACCTGAGCAGAGTGCTGAAATAGTCTTGATTAGGAGTAAATGCCATTTGAAAGACTGAACAGTAGTTTCCATCAAGAATAACAACTTATAAAAAGAAGATAAACCTTGCACTGAACATGGGTAAAATGAAGAAAGCAGAAACTGGTGAAAATGTTAGGTGCTTACCAGAAATGGACTCCAGCAAATGCAGGAAACACACATGATAGCCAGGAGCTGAATGACCATTTCAAAATGATGAGACCTGCCTTGTCTGTGCTGCTGCTGCTGTCTTTTGTATTTCATTTTTAACAGTGCAATTCCTGTGATGGCATTGCACAAGAATGAAGCACCAAGGGCTAAGAGCCCCAGGAAAGAAAAAAGTAGAAGATAAAATCTATCTTCCCAGTCATTGATATGTTCTGTTTTGTAGAAACACCACGTCCTCGATGCTTGAACTGTATAGTCTCGAAGTCCAAGGATGGGAAGCAGAGCTATAAAGATAGCAAACAAGCACACTCCACTCAACATCATTTTCACATGTTTAGATGTGATTTTTGTAGAATGAAATATTGGTTTGGTGACTCCAATACATCTCTCAATGGCCATTACACTGCCTAGAAAAAGTGGGCACAGACCATAGAATACCATGCAGATACCAAAAATACTGCAAAGGACATTTGATTGGTCAAAGCGGATCCAGTCTTTATTAGAAGCATATACAAATATTGCTATAGTTCCATTGATAAGATGACCAAAGAAGTCAGTGATCACCAGACCACTAGCCAAAAGAAGAAATGATGCCTTGGATTTCTGTTTAAATCGTTGATATGCCTTCAAGAGAATGGCAATGGCTAGGCTGTTTGATAAAATTCCTACTGTCATGAAGATTACTGAAAAAAACACTGAAAGCCGTTTTTCTGTCGTCTGGCAGGTTGTATTTAAAAGTAGTTCTGGAGGAGACAATGGTTGTTTGGAATTGTTCATTGACATTATTGTGGAGATGATAGCCAGCTACTCAAGTCATCTCCCTCTCAGATCAATGGAGGCTTGCAGTCCACAGATCTGTAACATAAAAAGAGAGACCTCATGAGCACAGCATTACTGCTCATCTGACATTTAAGACCCAAGAATCACAGCACCAAGTTATGGGAATTTGAGTTGTCTAGCCTATCATAAGCCAGGTTACATCATTTTAAAAGCAGCAACATCTGCCTAGAGTTCCACATTTCATTGTCAAAAGAAAGAAGCTGCTAAAATTAAGACCACCTTGGTTAGCCTCTGTGATCCACCTGCAAATGTGCATCTCATAAATGTCTTCTGAAGACATTTCATTAACACTTCAAAACTTTACAAGATCAGACTTAAACTTAATAATGTTTTTAAAGTCAAGATAATCTATTTAAATAAGTAGATGAACTTTTAAAGTTTCTGACGTTTTCCTCTGATGGGTTTTATCCCCCCAAGGTACAAATTATTCCTTACGAAAATAAATGCAACCTGTTTGTCAAGCAGATATAACAAGCCTCTCCAGACTTTGGTGGAAGATGGAAGAGAGCAGAAGGAAAAGAGTGGAATTGGCTAGCTCACTGATGTAATTAAATGGAGCTTTCCTGAATAAGTTTCTAAGGTCTACGTCTAATAACAGCAGACCACTCACAGAGACCCACAGGAAGGCAGAGTGGGGAAGTCATAGAAGATTTTTCTGGCCAACCCACCACCTGTGCAGAAATCTCGGTTCAAGATGGGAAAGGGGCAGACCATGCTCGCTCTGTCCTCTTCTGTCTTTGCCAACATCTGCTTAGATGCAGTTGGTTAAGTTAAAGTTTCAGGGTAGCAACATTCAATGTAATGTATTTATTCGTCTTTCTTTCCCTAGCAGCGAAACGCCTGAGTCACAGACACTGGATACTGAGGACCACAGCTGCTTCTCCAGTGCTAATTCGATTGGTGTTTCCCAAGCAGCTTTCCGGGAGGCTGGAAATTCCGGAGCCAAACTTTACTGGGGCTGGCCTGAGTGGGGCCGCCCAGGCTGCCCCCAGGGCGGACGCCTAGCCCAGGGCTTACTCACAGTTCCACTTTTGCCCATTTCTCCCCTCTAACGTCCCCCACCCCACGCTTTTGCTTGCAACATCCTCCCTAAACCTCCTAACTTGTTGAAACTTTCTGAGATTGCTCAAACATCAGAGGGCTTTCTCCCTCTCACCCCGGGGGGCGCCAAAGGCCTGCGCTGGCCTCAGTGCGGGACTGAAGCGTCGTCCACTGGGGAACCACTGGGAAAATACAGATCTGTCTTTGTCAGCTTCCCTCCTCTGAGACCCTTTCTACCTGAACCCCAGCTGCGCAGCTCAAATTCAATACTGGTCAGCTTCTCTCTCTGTGAGTCTCCCTAGCTTGAGAAATCTGTTCCAAACTTGTTGCCAAGCGCATTTTAAGTTATCCTACAGCTGAGCGACCCGAAGGGTGAGTGGGCCGGTTATATTTTGATCGGATTGATTAAACCTTGATCGGGTTGAACATCTAGAGGCCAGCGAGTACTAACTGCTGGAGGAGTGGTTACCTTGGTATCCCCCGCAGTCCGTGTTGCTCTAGACCGAATAGAAGAGCGCGCGTCTCCGTGCGCCATCCCGCGCCCGATTCCACTGTGCCACCGCCACAGGTTACAACGCGCGCAGAGCTGGTCCAGTCGCGAGTCCCCTCCTCAAGCTCTCCCGGCGCGGATACTGCCAGGCACGCTCGCACTCTCCAGTCCCTCAGCACCTAGAGGCGCTTTCAGCTTGGCCTGGATGGAGGGCGCGGGTGACCTCCACCCCTTTCTCTTCTCTTTCCTCTCCGCCCCTTTTTACAGAGCCTAGAGCACAGCCCGGAAGGTTAAAACACCAACTAAAATGCTACATCTACCACATCATCATCGCAACCGCCCTCTCAGCAGCCGGACCAGCTAGGAAAAAAAGTTTTATTTTAAACTACTTTCAAGAGAAAGGGAACAGCTCTGAAGCTGCAAGATAAGAGTTTGGAAAGCTGAAGAAAGTCCAGAAGCAGCTGTTGACAGCTCCAGCGCGCTAGGCTGTCAGAATGTAGTTTGCAGAATGAAATCATTCCAAACGCAGCTCAAAAGGGATTTTTTTAAAAAGCCAGGTGCTTTGCCTAGGGGCTTGAAAACAGGTATCTGCAGTACATTGGTTTTAATGGAGACACAGCCTGAGGGCTTACCATCACAGAGGACTGAACTATGTTTCTAGCTTTCTAAGGAATGTGAAAAAGAAAAGGGGAGACTGCATAGACTTCATTCTTGAAGGACAAACAGAGATAAGGGGTTAAAAGCATTGTAATGATTATAAAAACCCAATGGCCAGAGAATTTCTAGTGTTATGCCCAAAGAAATGTGCATCTAACTAGTGTTGAAATCATTTTATCATTCGCTATTGTTAGTTACCATCAGTAAAGAATATCCAAGTGCTTTTTTAGGAATTAGATTTGAGCAGTTATCGTTTTGATTCATAATTAATAACTATTACTCATTTAAAAAAACTAAATAATAATGTGAATCTATTACTGACCTTTGATCTTTTAGTGGTAGTAGAAAAGTTGCCAGCATCTAAGTGAAAAAACAGTGCCACACGGAAACGTGTTCTCCATCCTCCTCTAAATTCCTGGAGATTGAAAAGGATCATAAAATGCTAAAGAGAGATAAAATAAATCAGCCATTAACTGCTGAAAGAACAACTGCACAGTTTTCTCTGTGGTAGATACTTATTTTTAAATTTTATAACTCTAACTTGTGAAATAAAGGATCCTGGTAGTACTATGGCCTAGGCATTGGGCTGCTAACTTCAAGGCCAGTGGTTCAAAGCTACCAGTTACTCAGCAGGAGATAAAAGAGACTTTGAAAACTCTGGATCCTTACAAAGGATTACTATGAGTTAGAATCAATTGGATAGCAGTGGGTTTGGGTTTTTTAATCAGTTTAACTTGTAAAATAAACTGCTACTCATGTATGGTCAGGGAATTGAACATATTCTTGTTAGTAAAACAGTATTTTATCTGAATGGTAAGTATGCAAAGAAAAAGCATACAATAAGCCACACTGAATGGTGAGTGGCAAAGTTCTTGGCCATGGAGTCCATTCCAACTTATGGACCCACACATGTACATCAGAATGGAATTATGCTCCCTTTGTCAGATCTTTAGTGAATATAATCTTTGTAAGGACTCCTGGTATGGCGCTGTAAGATGGGCACTGGATTGCTAACCACAAGTTTAGCAGTTTAAATCCACCTGTTGCTCCTCAGAAACTATACAGGGTCACTTTGAGTCGGAACCCACTTGAAGTACTTAACAACCAAAACAAAATCTTTATGGAAGCAAGTCACCAGGACTTTCTTTCAAAGCACTGCTTTGTTGTTGTTGATAAGTGCCATTGAGTCAGTTCTGACTCACAGCGGCCCTGTATAGGATTTCTAAGGAGCAGAAGCAGCTGATAGGTTTGAATCACTGACCTTGCAATTATCAGTCCAGTGCTTACCCTACAGTGCCACACCAGGACCCCTAGATAGGTTTAAACTGCTAGGATGAACACAAACCATACCAAAACAAAACAAAAAACTATCAATCCACTGCCACAAAATTGATTCCAACTCATAGTGATATTATACAGGGTTTATATAGAGCTTACACAGAGTTTCAGAGACTGTAAAGTATTAAGGCAGAGACAACCTGATCTTTCTTCCTCCTAGCAATAGGTTTGAACTGATGACCTTGCAGTTAGCAACCCAGTACTTATCTTACAGCACCAGAAGAACTCCTTTTGTGTGGCACATAAAACTGAAACCAACTGCCATGCAGTTGATTCCAACTCAAAACGAGGCCATAAATCTTAACAGGAGCAGAAAGTCTCATATTTCTTCCATGGAGCAGCTGGTGGGTATTAACTTCCAGCCTTGAAATTAATAGTCCTGTGCTTATCCTACAGCATCATCAGGGCTCCTTATGCATGGCACATAACACTGTTTAATTTTTTTTTTTCCTTTAATGATTAACAGCACTAAATCACTTTGTATTGCAATTATCTGTTTACTTGTATCTCTGAGTTCCTGCAGAAGTCTTGTTCATCAATTAATCCTCACCTAGGTCAATGCCTGGCCACGTAGCAAATGTGTCTTGAATTAATAAATGCCATAGTCAGCATTTCCAGATATTACAGTCAGAGATCTTGAAAGCTCTTAGGCTCTCACTGGAACACCTCACTAACATCAACTGCTCTGTTTACTTTGAGGGGAGGAGGAGAGGGAAACCTTCAGTAATGTGATGTCAGATTGTTAACATTCATTACGTAATATCTTAAAAAAATAATACTTTACATTTTGAAGTACTAAATAAGTCTCATGTAAAAAGAAAGATACCTACTTTGCATGTATTATATTTTATTGTGATGAAAATATACATAACAAAATATACACCATCTCAGCAATTTCTGCGTGTACAATTCAGTGGTATTGATTACATTCTTCAAATTGTACAATTTTCAAGATGCTTTTCCAAATCATTCAACCACCATTAAAATAAACTCAATGCTCCCTAAGCAAAAACTCCCTCTTTCCCATGTCCTTCCTACTCCTGCTATTCACTAACATTTCATTTCAGTATATTTTTGTGTATATATAAGTGAGATTCTATTTGCCCTTTTGCAACTCACTTATTTTGCTCCCCAATAATTTCAAGGTTTGTCCATGTTTTATCATGTATCAGGATATACTTCTGTTTATGGCTGATAAATATTCCATTGGGTGTAGATCCCACAATTTGTTTATCTATGCATCTACTCATACACATTTTAATTGTTCCAATCTTTTATTGTTGTGCAAAGTGATGCAATAAATACTGATGAACAGGTTTAAAGGTATCCTTGATGTTGCAACATGTATTCTTGGAGATACATTTCATCTGAGTATCAATAAGACATTCTAAATTAATTCTAAAATGAAATTATAAATACATGTTGTTATTGTTAGGTTCCATCCAGTCAGTTCCCACTCAGAAAAACCCTATGCACAACACACGGAACA